AGCCTTACATTGGTAAACATGGTCTGGCCTTACATTGGTAAACATAGTCTGCCTTACATTGGTAAACATAGTCTGCCTTACATTGGTAAACATGGTCTGGCCTTACATTGGTAAACATGGTCTAGCCTTACATTGGTAAACATGGTCTAGCCTTACATTGGTAAACATGGTCTAGCCTTACATTGGTAAACATGGTCGGGCCTTACAATGGTAAACATTGTCTGGCCTTACATTGGTAAACATTGTCTGGCCTTACATTGGTTAACATGGTCTAGCCTTACATTGGTAAACATGGTCTGGCCTAACAATGGTAAACATTGTCTGGCCTTACATTGGTTAACATGGTCTGGCCTTACATTGGTAAACATGGTCTAGCCTTACATTGGTAAACATGGTCTAGCCTTACATTGGTAAACATGGTCGGGCCTTACAATGGTAAACATTGTCTGGCCTTACATTGGTAAACATTGTCTGGCCTTACATTGGTTAACATGGTCTGGCCTTACATTGGTAAACATGGTCTAGCCTTACATTCGTTTGTATGGTCTAATGCATACATAAGTTATAATTGGTCTGATCTATCATTTGTACTGGTCTGATCTTACATGGTTATCCATGACCAGACTAAATTGATCATAATCTGGTGAATTTTTTCACTGATGAGGATATGGTATATAATTCTTACAACACCTTACATGTGGTAGTTCTATTATGTATGCCAATATGTATATTAACCATACCTGTACCAGGTGTTAATTGAGACTAAGATTATTTGCCCTTCTTTTTATCATATAAAAGAGTGCTATATATACTACCTTGAAAATTAACACTTAGGAGAAATACATGATGGTTACATGCTACTTGGGTATGTAAATTGGAATTGCACTGTCATTTAATGCCTTTCATCCTAACTTTGTAACCCAGTGAGACAATGCTTATGCTTAGCTAGTTTTGAGGTGCATCTGTGAGACAAGCTTTCCACAATGCTGGATCATGGTAACATTAATTGTATTGAACGTTATTCAACACCTGTATACATATTGAATTAATTTTACAGTGTAGTTTGTTTTCTTTCATAGTGAAGAAATGTAAGCAAGTGATCATGAGGATATCCAGACACACGGTTATATCAGCTACAGTAAAATCAATGTGAAGGTTATAAATGGTGAGCACACAACACCACGGCAGCTCAATTATGTCCAATAAACCCCAGCTGGGGATTGTGTATCCAGCTACCCAACAGACTATACATGGTAGACATCTAGTATATAGAGATTAACTAACTTGACACAGACCTAGAGTGACCAGGAGTCTGCTCATCACTACTAGACACTAGGAGAGATTAACAAATCAACCTGACACAGACCTAGGGTGACCAGGAGTCTGCTCATCACTACTAGACACTAGAATATAGAGAAATTAACAAATCAAACTGACACAGACCTAGAGTGACCAGGAGTCTGCTCATCCCTACTAGACACTAGTATATAGAGAGATTAACGAATCAACCTGACACAGACCTAGAGTGACCAGGAGTCTGTTCACACAGAATGACCATGAGTATGCTCATCACTACTAGACATCTAGTATATAGAGAGATTAACAAATCAACCTGACACAGACCTCGAGTGACCAGGAGTCTGCTCATCACTACTAGACACTAGTATATATAGAGAAATTAACAAATCACCCTGACACAGACCTAGAGTGACCAGGAGTCTGCTCATCACTTCTAGACACTATATATAGAGAGTTTAACAAATCAACCTGACACAGACCTAGAGTGACCAGGAGTCTGCTCACACCGAATGACCAGGAGTCTGCTCATCACTACTAGACACTAGAATATAGAGATATTAACAAATCAAACTGACACAGACCTAGAGTGACCAGGAGTCTGTTCACACAGAATGACCATGAGTCTGTTCATCACTACTAGACATCTAGTATATAGAGAGATTAACAAATCAACCTGACACAGACCTAGAGTGAACAGGAGTCTGCTCACACAGAATTACCAGCAGTCTGCTCATCACTACTAGACACTAGTATTTTGTTGCATTCAGATAATATTACAATAATTAATAACAATGCATGATATGTGACAAATTTAATTTGATATTTTTCCATTCCAATTTAATGGATAAGTCCAGATAAAAAAGAGAGGTTGTTATCAGGTCCAGTTAGTAATTATAAATTAATCATTTAAAGACCCTTCACTTATCAATAGTAAACACATAAAGAGATCTTATTATTTTAGTGGATTAATTACTAACAATTTTTTTTTATCAATACATATATATATCTACTAACTTATGTTGTGTCTTATAAATTCTTTTTAAGTGTCGTCTTTGCACTTTCGACTATGACAGAATTTGTGATCAGTGCAAAATCAACATTTACTCCAACAGAAATAAAGGACTGTATATCACTGAAATGAAAAAATAATATTGTTCATTGGGAATACCAACATTTTATAAACGTGCCAATGTGCATGGGAAACATAGCTGCAGGCAATGCAAGTACGGTTAATTAAACAAATATGATGTCTCCATGGATATTATAAAGTAACCGGTATCCAGGACCAGTTACTAAAGAATCAGGTTGACTATGCTATACTGTGATGATATATATATATAGATCCAGACAACCAATAATCTATACCTCGAACCCACTCCTTTGTATTACCATAATAACATTTTTTCAAATCGCTTTTCTTACGTAATGAGAATTAAATTATTCATCACGAAGTACCTCACATACATACATTTGTATGCGTCTATATATACATATGTACCTACTGCTAGTAAATGAAATGGTATGTAGTCAAATCATACAGTGGGTATTTTGGATCGACATGCAACCCAATGGAATTTGGCACTATTTTTATTTTATTTTGATGAGAAAAAACAATCAACTCTTAGATCAGTTTTACTTATTAATCCTGGCTTTTATTATGCATCACCCCGAACAATTGATTACCGGTATGTATGAATTTTTACATTACAAACAAACATGTAATGTATATCTAAAAATTAGTTTAACCTGTCAAGTGTTATTTAGCAAATTGTATTCCTAACCCTGGGACAGAAAACAGAAATTCAACAAACTGCATGGTTGATGAGAATTGAAAAGAAACTATAGTGTACATGTATCAAAATAAACTATATAACTCACTACTTTTCTGTCAACAAAGCATACAAACATGTTAATATGTACAAAAACTCCTGACTCTGGACCCAGTCAATTTCATATCATATATGAAGTATTCCTAGGAGTTACCTCATAAAATATAAGTTGAGTCTAGTTTTGACTCATCAAATATGAGATACTGTTCACCTTCAACATCAGGGCTTTTACTAACTGATCTGGGAATGGGGCCTGTGGCTTCCAGAATTGGGAAAGATGTTGTGTGGTTTTTTTCCAAAGTATAGTTTTAAAGACTAAAGCACCCTTATTTATGAAAGGTTATTTCATTTCAGTCATCTGAATACATGCCGAGAATTACAGAAGAAATGTTATTGTTGTTTTTTTACAGGGGTGGGTGGGTAAGATATTTTGGGAAATAATAAGATAATAAAAACATTTTCCATTATCTTTGGCCTAAAATGGCCTAGAGAAAGCCCTAAATGATTGAATACCATACATAGATCAGTAAGAAGTTGAGTCTTATACGTACTTGTAATGACAAGTAACTGACAGAACAGTCGTCCGGGTAACAGTTTGTTTATTATATTTTTTAGTTAGAAGTCATTTTTTCTTAAAAACTTAATTTAGTTTAGATTTTATCAGACTGAACCACTGATTGTCTATAGTATCTCTCAAAGGATTTGCAAAGAAGATTTTTACACAATGATTTGTCAGTCATTGAATATTTTCATTCTTCTGCACTAGATTGATCACAAAGTTTTAACTGTAGTGCAAGCCCATCCACAAATAACAATGATAATGTATAAATAACAAGGTGAAGAGTCACTAGTAACACCTGATTATTATACTATAATATGTACTACTAGGTTATATCTCAGGCAGGAGTGTTAGCATGTGATGACTTGTTATCTTCGTGCAGTTAAACTGGGAGTGACATGGAATTTACTTAATTTGGAAATCCCTTTTTGCAGTCAGACTAAAACCTTACAGTCTCATACTATGCTTGACTGTTTATACTGATTACTGAGCATGGTGCATTGTGTTTCATTGTGAGAATCCCTGTTACCCAGGTACTTTACTTTGCATTGCATTTAATCAAGCATTGCATGAATAGAACTGTTTTTATTTAGTAGGTACAAGACTGACAAGGGTAGCTTAGACTGAAAATGTTGGTCTTCATAAACAGCTATTTAATATCAAATTCTTCTGTTTAACTATGTAGATGTGATGAGTCTATTTCATACTTTTTTTAATCGTTTTATATGATAGACTGAAAGGCCCTTTATGGGTTTTATCTTATTTATCATTTTCTACATCATTAAAATCGTAGGTAGTGATTAAAAATATACATTTTGTTATACTGGAACCGCAGATTCTGGACACACAAGGACATATATCATATTTGCTTTAATATTAGACACACACACATATCAGGACTAGACCAGGTGACTATCATTGACCAGCTATACATGTAGCTTATTTGGTTAGAGCATATGTCTAGAATTTGGAGGTCCAGGGTTCAAATCCCTGCCTAATAAACCTGTTGTATTTTTCTTCTGCTAATTACTGACATGTATACCTCATGTTTTATAAGTACATGTACATAAAATACATATACATGTATTGCCTTTTCCATATACAAAATCGTATTGTCGCACTCTTTAACAGTAGGATTCTCTGTATCTGAAGTCTTGAATATCTTGATGTCAATCTAGTTTCATATAAAGAAAACAAATAAAACATATGATGCGTGATTAACCAGAGTTTAATCTGGCCCTGACACCAGACTTAGATATTTTGACAGATATATGTCTGGTGTGGGTTATATACAATGTACCTGGTATACATACCTGACCAATAAATTGGGGTGCACTTTTTCATATCCACGTCGACTTCATATAGACCGCCTCTGACAGTTATGATATCTTTCTCAAACATTGTCTTTTCTTCTTCCGTTATGTTCTGCATGGCACGAAATCTACATTCTATTCTCAAGGAATCGTACCCAATAAAAGATCTCCATTCCTTATCCCCTACTTGTTTGTAGAACCACCGAACCTCCTCGGGTCTCAGGTGATTTACAAACTCATTTTGGGGATAAAGGTGTCGTCTGCGATTGACGAGTGGGGGAGTTGAGCGTGCTTCACTTGTAACAGATGCTCCACTAGCACTGTCACTGTCTTTTGAGTAGTACATGTCATCTTCATCATCTGACGGAAAAAGTGATGGGTACAACCGATCACTCGAACCTTGTCGCGAGGATGAATGTCGAGATGGACTGCCGTTAATTCCGTCTCCTGGGGAAGCTACCCCTAAATCTCTCATCATAATTGTTCAATATTTCCATGAACGTTTGGACAAACTAACTCCATGCTGAAACAGATCAATAAACGATAGCAGACACATCGAATCACGTCAGCTGCCACACACTTGAACTCTCCGTTGACCTCTCACCTGACAGCCTTCACCTTTAGAACATGTAAAGCTATCTTTTATTCTTATTAACAAAAACAAGAAAAGAAGCCGTTGCATACATATATCTGATAAACGGAAATAAATCTTTGCAGTGAAAGTGTTTAGAGAAATTGATGTAAAATATTGAAGTTGTTTTGAATGAACACATTACAATAATTCGAAACTGAGGCTTTGTATTCAGGGCCTACAAAACACGTGCCTTCTGTGCCCTTGATGTTGACAAGCGGACGACGCAACACCGGTAAGAACTTCGGTCTGTCATTTTGCTGTCTCATAAACTCTGACATGGAGGTACCCTTTGTGACATACAAAGTAATTCAATTCAAAATATTTTGCCAAATTTCCAGTGTTACATAGATCGTGTTAAGTCAAATCAGACGTCAGATTAGGCCGGCTATCCGGACGTTTCGTTACATAGAAAGAAGACGCTTAGGTTCATTTTTTGTAAGCTGAAAAATTCTAAGATATGAAACAGCAACACTCAGGACACTAAAAGCAAACAAAATACAAAGTTTGAAATTAATCCGAGGGCCGAAATGTTATGAAATATCGAATGGAATTTCGGATAGTCCGAAATCGGTTTTTGTACCGAAACGTCCGACCACATTCTTACGTCAGTCGTAGGTCAGGTTGTGACGAAACAAGCCCCTTAAAAGATACAATAGTTATTCACCATTAATTTCAACCCCCTGGTAAGTCATATTCAAAAACTATTCTTAAAAATGATTAAATCGGAATATTCATATGTAAATTAAATATATTGAACTTGTACATTAATTAGGTACATAAACAATTAAGGTAACATGTGCCAGGGTTCAATTGTACATAGGATTAAGGTCGCCTTCGAGCTAGAGGGAATTTCCCTTTAGCTCGGTGGTAGAGCGTCCGACTAGGAACCTGGAGATAGCGGGTTCGATCCCCGGTGGAAGCACTATTCTCTTCCCTGTTACAAATGGTGTCCGCGGCCCTTCCTGTAATGACAGGAAGTTAGAACCTGGGTTGTGGTGTTTGAGGGTGAACACATTTAAAAAAGGGGAGTCGTGTGCCAACCTGGGTTCAATTGTACATAGGATTAAGGTCGCCTTCTAGTTTCGAGCTAGAGGGAATTTCCCTTTAGCTCAGTGGTAGAGCGTCTGACTAGGAACCTGGAGATGGCGGGTTCGATCCCCGGTGGAAGCACACTATTCTCTTTCCTGTTACAAACATAGTCAATAATAAAGGAATTAGGCTGATGTCTTCATAAAAACAGTTCACCCGACTTATAACATGTCAATCTCTTTTGCAACCCAACTGAATTCTACGAATTGACATAATTATTTAAAGTTTAGTTATATACCTATAGCTAGGTCATGCAAAGCTTTATTTCTCTTACCTAGGTGTGGAGAGGCAGACGGTCAGCATACCAGCCTCAAAAGTCATAGTACACTTGCTATTATTATGTATTTGGAATACATTTACTGTCAAGTTTAAAGAATAACATTTTGTTTTGTCCTTGACAGGTGTAACTGGTCATAGAAGACGATAAGAAAACAGAGCTCAATTGCGGTTAATTCACTCAGGAGGGGACCATGTGGCCAGTGGTAGCAGCTTTAGCACGGACATATGCTCCGTATTTGTTGTTCCCCGTCACAGCTACCATAGGATTCTTTGGATACATGTATGAATCAAACTTTAGACAAATAAATGTACCTTTTAAATCAACAACTATTCAAGAGGAGCGAGACCAGAGAAAGTTGGAAGAAGTGAAAGAACAAACAGATCTGACAAATTTAAAAAGTTTGAAATCCAAACCAAATGTACCAACGTCCATTCTAGACAGAAATGATAAATCCAACATCACCAAGGGTACACCAGTACAAGACACATCTTGATGAGAGATAACAATTAGGTATGGAAGTGTAATATCCACATACTGTTTCATGTAACTGTCAGTAAGAAGACAAGTAACATGGGCCATGTCAGCACAGAAAGTGTCTCTAAGGAGAAACAGTGAAAATGCAAAGTGTATTACAGACATCAGCAGATTCTGAAGTTCACATATTTCATCTTCCAACATTACATTTATAGAGACGTACATCTGATGAGAAGTAATAAAAATTTTAAATGTACCTTATTAACTGGATGAAGCAGTATACATTTGATTTTTAATTGTTTGTGTTGCATTAAATTTGTTACTTGGGATTAGCAATAACTAATCTTCTAAAACATTTTCACAGATGTTCTGCTGAAGAAATTTAAGAAAAAGATCGTCATCATTTTGCTCACTATACAGAAAATATACAAAGTTTTTTGTAATTTCAGGAGATTTGGTCGATATAAGAGTACCCTTTCATAGATAGATATACATTTTCTGCTTATATAGTGAATTGTAGTGGGGGGGTTTTTATCCAAAAAAAACACTAAAATTGAACAGTTATGACATTACTTCAAATTTTCAAATAAAATGAAATATGATTCTGTGGATTGTTTCCATTTTTTGGATAAGTATTTCAAAATGTTCAAAAAAACACAGCAAGCAACATAATACATATTGAAGTCAAATCTCAAAGTAAGTAACACAGTTAGTGTACTGTTCAATATGACTAAACAGCAATACATTTATTTACATGGTTTCCTGTTGGTTATGAACTGACCTGAAACACCAGTGTTGGTATATGCCAGTGACACACACTGGTATGTTGATTCATAGCCTGCTCGTCACCTCTGATGACCCACTGTTACTGAAACCTTGCTGCTTTGTGTAAGCTGATCAGAGTTGTTTCCCTTGCATTTGCCAAACCATGCATTAAATACTGAAGAGTACAACATAATACAGTGTCTCAAATTCAGAAACATCAGCAATACAGAAAACATGTGCATGAAGGTTCATGACTGACTGACTTTTAGGGTGAATTTGGGGCCCTATAAAGGCCCGATCCCCTAGATGACTTGCTGTAAATAAATGCAAAAATCATGCTTTTTGTGTTTGATATTTTCCCAAAGCCACAAGACACAGGCCCCTCTGGAAAGGAGTTAGAAAAAAAAATGCCGTTTTAGAATGTTTGCTTTTAGACTTACCTGGCTCATAGAGTCGTGTACATGTGAGTTTATGCAATAGCACAGCATCTGTTGTCCCTCCATAACATACTAGTCCAGAATAGCTGTGGACAAAAAGGACTCGGTGTTGTATAAATGGAGGGTGTGCACCCCCATCTTTGGAGGCAGAGGGGTTGGCCCCAAAAGGTGAACAAAGGTCAATCTGTAAAATCTCCACCTTCTGTATGCATGAAGGATTTTAACCTAATTGTATTTGAAGAATCCTTCTGTGGGCCAAAATTAAAGGAGTCAATGTTGTATAAATGGAGGGTGTGGACCTATAGGGAGCAGAGAAGGGGTGCAAACAAGAGAAATGCAGGTACCAGGTATATTTATCCTACTTAAATACAAGTATAAAGAGATGCAATGTATTATCTGAATTTGATCTGGAGCATACTTTTGTGTGGTTATTTTGGCACATTTTGGTTTTGTAATCCTACTCATTCTATAGTTGGTTTAGTATCAGTTGTCAAAGAAGAAAAATTCCACTCAGAGCTGCTTTTTGACATGTAGAGAAAGGAAGCAAACAAAAGGAGTTTGTTTGGCTCAGAGTGACTTCCCTTGTCAAGGTATTCCTCTTCATTCCTGATGAGCAACAGTGTTGTAGTGTCGGATTGGCAGTGTAAAGATATTTTTCGATTTTACTATATTCGACTTTGAACAGCTATAATTCTTTAAAATGCATCACAACATGTGATTTATATGGAATATTTCTATAGAAAGTGAATGAAGAAATATTTCATATTTTTGGCTTGTGTTTTATGGTAATTTAAGGACATGTCAGGTTTTGGTGGTGGAGGAAAGCTAGAGTACCCAGAGAAAAACCACCAACCTGCAGCCAGTACCTGGCAACTGGACTAGTGATCGTAGACACTCAGGGGCCTTAACCACTCTGCCCCAGCGGCCCCCTATATTTCAAACTTATGGAAATGGTGATAAAATACAATGTCTTGATACCCTTTACCTTTAAAACAATCGAGATCACCACTTTATAACCACATCCACACAAAAGCCATAAAGAGATACGTACATAAATGCTACTAAGACTTGGCTAGGGTCCAGCTCCACCTTTGGGGACTTAGTTCTTCCATCATATCTTTGAAATGGACAGAAAAACAACACTTTAAAAGTAATGTAGACATTTTTTGCTGGGCATTAAGATATAAACACAACTAGTTTAATCATCCGGATCGGGCCCTGCTCCTTTGGACTTGGACACACGTTCATAACTTCGAATAGGTTCAGATCTCAATCCCCCATTGCCAAAGAACACAATCATCTGGATTTGCCTCAGGGTCTGCCCCATATTTGGGAACTTGTTCCAAGTCATTACATGTAAATAGTTAAGATTTTCATCCTTTAACCATATGTACAATTGCTGCTGAAGATGACAAGATAAACACAATTATGCTAATAGGATTTGTTCCTTGGTCCAAACAAGCCCCTGGTGACTTGGTTCCAGAGTCATTACATAGAAGCAGTTGAGATACCTACCCTTTAAAAATAAACAATTGCTAGACAGCAAGAGATGAAAACACTTGTGCTATTACAATTGGTCCAGGGTCAGGCCCATCCCCTGGGGTTTATTTCAGGATCATGGCCCAGATTCTGCATGTTAATCCAATTTTTATATCCGAATGCCAAAATATTGCATTGAATTTGATGAATACATTATGTAAATAAGATTTTAAAATATTATGTTTTATAGTAGAACAGCCAAAACTTCAGAGAATACACATTTTCTCTACGAAACATCTTCAATAATGAGACAGGATGATGCTTCCAAGTCAGTAGCCAATGGGTTTCATATGGCATCTTTCAATGGATTATATGTCTCCCTGGTACCTATATCACACATATTAAATGAGATTAGAACGATCTGATTGGATATTTTTTTCTAGGTCGTATATTTACAAAATAAAGAAGATACAATTTCAATGTAACTTGATGAGAGTACATATTACCACATTATCTAGCTCATGTTCAGTGTTTCTAGATACAAACCTTCAATTCAACTTGGTGAGGATATTACCACAGTCTCAACCAATGACAATCTATCTGATATCCAAGTAAAGCCCTTATTGTTATGAGGTCAAACCAATCACATTGACCTGTTTGATTGGGGTAAAACTGTAGCAGTAATTCAACTTGCCAGTGATGAAATACAAATGCTAAGTTTTTATGTCTCTGGAAATTCGGTAATAACTTTCTTTACGTCGTTTCATTGATGCTGGAATTTACCTCAATAACATAAAATGAACAAATTGTGAGTACACGAACATACCAGTAAATCTGTGTATATCGCTAATACTTTCTGATACGACACTAGCAAGTCATTGATTGCAGTTTTGTGGACAATATACAAAAGACAGTTAGGAGAGCAGTGGATTTCACACTACAACCAGCCGTCAGGAATCTGTTTTTATATATTTAGGTTGGAGAGGTCAACCAATCGGCGTGGAATGATTGGCAAAATATAAACCCTGCAAATTGATATGTCTTATATAATCCATATAAATCGTGATCACTGGCCTGGAGGAAATAGAGAAGGATTTGAATATGTCTGATACAGTGATCATCAGATCAAAAGTAGCAACACTTGGTAAGGACTTAGAGAGGAACATACAGATTGATCAAAATCGCCCAGGTGGAAATTGTGTCGAAGAGTCGCCACCATTTAGTTATAGAGGTCAAAGCAAGGCAGTCATCAACCCGAAAATGAAGTGCCTATGAGTTTATCATTTGGCAAAGAGAACTGAGAAAAGATGACCAAAATGTTTTGCCCCAATTTTCCCAATCGAGTCGCACCCTGTGCAAACAGATCCTAACCACACTTTTATTTTATACGATATTATAGCCCCTTCATCGAGAGATGATCCGTGCGAAATTATGTTGAAATTCCTTCATCCGAAGAAACATACCTTTATAATTCATTACACCAACTTGGATCACCTGTCCATGGTCCACGCTAATCGTTGTTCTGGTCCGTTTATCTAAACTTAAATAGTCTATGAAAGATACGCTATATTTCCTCTTATTTTTGCCCTTCTCTCCCGGGAAAGATGGTCGGGGTACACCCTTCATCTTTAACATTTTGATTTCTTGGTACATGAGAACGCAATGCCAAATAAGGTCAACACTCATTTAAAAGTAGTATAACCCCTATTTCCCCTTTTGGGCCCCGTTCTGTCTCCCGGAGGGTTAGATAAGTCCTTCCTTCATGCTACATTGAATTCCTTTGTTTGGTTCAATGATGATCATTGGTGAAATTAGCAAAAATCCGTTCAGTGTTTCTGGACTTGTAGTCTTTTGAATAAAAGAAGCATCATGTTATCAGAAAAGGTGAGCTAGCATCCAGGCCAGTTATTTTCATAGAAAATATCATGCAAGCTAATGTATGAACCAGTTGCCTTTAACAACATGAGTACTAACATGTATTTATTTACATGTGATAAACAATTAGCGGTTCGTACGTCACTACCGTATTCACGGGGTTATCGACCCGCATACATTATAGAGCTGATGACGACAAAGGGACGATCGATCACTAGCATCAGCGCCATTATACCAAACATTGGAACCGCAGACAGAAGCAGACAGACAAACACGAACAGGGATTCGAAGGAACAACTGGTAAGGTAAGTAGGGAGCATATCTTGAGTAGAGACCATTTTTGGATATTTGGTGATAGTTCTAATTCTGAGATGACAAGTATAATGGTCTAGTGCCAAACCAGCTGGTACGACGAAGAATCGACTGTCGTATACTGTAAATAACCACTCTGATATGACAAACATGGACAATCCTCGGTTCAACATCGGGCACCTGATAATACCTTTTAATCTTAAAATTCTCACAACTTTCAATACGCCATTCTCTAAGATCACAGGAATTGCATTTTCTGTGAAGCACAGAACGTTTGTCTGTCAACCGAGCAGATTTTGTCAAATATATACGGTATCAATTGTACACCACTCCCAGTTTCACACATCCTTTTGTAAGGCTATCTCGTGAGCGTTATATGACAGGTAGGCTTAGACTTCTTCGTCATTGACGTTAATGTATCGTGTACATGTACATGTACATATTTATTAATAAATAGTCGTTTACGGAAACCAAGGTAACGATTTTACACTAAAGTAGCAATTATTTCACCACACTGCTTACAAAAGCGATTGCTATACTTCAGGGGTAAAAATATGTTAATCAGAGCATTCTGGTTTGTCTATTCAGAGTGGGCGAATGTAGTCAGCCTAAAACAGATCATGCAATTGAGCTCCAAGGTTAAAGTGATGAACGTCATGTGACTGGTTGGTAGGCTATCACAAGGCATTCACGTAATTCCATCGTGACCATGTACTTACGTTTAAATTTATAAATAGTCGTATATCTACCAATTTTCTTTCCTACGGAAATGAAGGGAACACTTTTTAGGAAAAGTTACAATTATTTCACTTTTCTAATGAAAAATAATGCTATACTTCAGGGTTTAAAGCATCATGGTTTGTCTATTCAGAGAGGTCCTCTAGATGACTTGACTCGTCAGAGAGGGGATTGAGATGACTAGTGTAACCAGAGAGGGTTTTGTGATGACTAGTGTAATCAGAGAGGGTTTTGTGATGACTAGTGTAGCCAGAGAGGGCTTTGTGATGACTAGTTTAGTCAGAGAGGGTTTTGTGATGACTAGTGTAACCAGAGAGGGCTTTGTGATGACTAGTGTAATCAGAGAGGGTTTTGTGATGACTAGTGTAATCAGAGAGGGCTTTGTGATGACTAGTGTAATCAGAGAGGTTTTTGTGATGTAAGAGCTTTGAGATGACTAGTGTAGTTAAAACACTTAATCTTACAGTCAATAAACCGAAGCATTACCAAATGAGCCCCTAGATACATTTTTATTTTACTCAAAATTATATGATTCTCACCCAATGACATTATCACCAGATTGAAATCCGCTTTTAGGAACCAGTGACATCCAAGCATATCCCGCTTCTTGGACATCGAAGCATCTATCTAGTCTTTTGTTTGTTCTCGAAACAATTTTCTAAAATAGACCGGTCACGCCAACTTAAGGCGTAATCTCCATTTACAATATCCGCTATATTTCCCCTTGGGCATTGTTTATTGATGTTGACTGCATTGAGGTACAGACCATACGATTTAACAGCGGGAGCAGATCGATATTACCGTACAATGACAGAATTACGGAGTACAGAATGGCGTGGGCGGCTCCGAACTGATGTAGTATTGTGTTACATGTCCTTAAACGGTCCCGTTATTAGTACCAATTACACGGAACCGGAAAACACAAATATCTGCCATCAATCTTCAGTTCTCCTCTTACAAATCGTTAGACCAAGTTCTCTGGTAGAGCACGTTGGCTTAGATTTGCTAAAGCTTCAAAATGTCATACAAATATGTATCTGTCTATTCCTGAAAATTGTGTGTTGTCGACCATATTTTAGATGGTTTGACGTCACATCTCTTTATAATGATGTTTTTCTTTTCTGTGATTTAACTATGTCTTGCATTTATGTATGATTTCACATATCCGTTAGATGTTTGTCAATCAAAGTATTACGGCTATATTGATACTATATACATGTAGTACACAATACTTTTTATCTGTAACTACGGTATAACGTCATGCCTCTGAAGTCTGTGACTGCGGTATAACGTCATGTCTCTGAAGTCTGTAACTGCGGTATAACGTCATATTTCACAAAGGTTACGAGGTCAAGTTAGGGTTGTCAGGCACTGCCCAGAATGTGGATATCACTATCCTGTATGCAGTAGTTATTTATTCTGTGACGTATGAGGACGGCATCCCCTTATACATTGTTTTATTTTGTACAAAGTTTAAGCTTATCCTAAGGAATATTATGCAATACATCCTGCAAATGTTTAACCATAAAATAATACAAAACCAGACGCAATTTGCTTGAATGCATGTTAAATCTAATCTTTTGCATACTGACTTTGGACAGGAATGGTTCCTCTCTTACTGATCGCCGCTCTTGGCTTAGTGAATGGCGCTTCGTACTCTGATATTCTCTCCGAGCTAAATGGTCTGTACGACCTTGACCCCGGTTACTACGAAGATAACCTTGTAAGCAGGAGCTCCCCTGGAGACTGGGGCATGTCCTACAGGGATGCCCCACTCAATGAGCCTGAGCTGCTTGGAGAGGCCGCACTGAGGGACCAAGAGTACCTAGAACAGAGTCCTCTATGGGGATATCAATCTATGTCAGGTAGGTACATGTATACATTTAAAGCGTCTGGCAGGGTCATAGACTATATATATATAGCTTTGTGAGAGATCATACACCATAGTGTCAGGTGGTTCAGGCACCTGAACTTAACGACATATGTTACTGAACACATCGCCGTGATTCCCCAGATTACGGACGAATCAAATGTCATTCCGATCAAAGGCATTTAGATGAACTGATGCTTTTTGCAACAAGGTATTATTTTGTGTAAAAGAAGCATGTGTCCTTTAATTCTTTTCATTTGCTCTCTAGAGTAGCATGATGCTCTGATCAGTGTTAAATGACAAAGTTGGTATACAACATACACTGAACAACACAAGAAGATAATGGAATATCAAATAGCCTAGTCTAAGGAATTACAGTACGCTAAAATCTGTGTTGTGAATATTGACATTTTGTTTGTAAAAGGTGGAACTGGAGGTGGAAAAGAAAACCCCAAGGAAGTGAAGACAGACAAGGTCCTTCCAGCATACTGCAATCCCCCTAACCCTTGCCCCATCGGATATAAAGGTAGGCTTGCTGGGGTCGTATTTAACCTGAACATAATCGTGATGGTGTACCGACTGGATAGAGACGATAACTCAACTATGAGTAATTGCCTTATGTCTCAAGATATACCAATTTTGTCACAACTAAAACTTGTTTCTCTGACAACACACTTTTAGGAAGGTGACTGCATATGTGCAAAATATCATGAGGCCGTCGCACTGAAATATCGTGTCATTGACACACTGTTTAACGGATACTATTCATTGACCCCTTTTAATCAACTGAAGCAGTCTATTCAATGTGACGTCTTGATGTGGAAGACATACATATGATCCTTCTATTACAGCCGACGACAACTGCTTGGAAACATTTGCCAATACCCCCGATAACAACCGGAACTTGATGAAGCAGCAGGACTGTCCTTGTGACTCGGAACACATGCTGAGCTGTCCCAATGACAAGGGTCGCATTAACACACAATCACAAAGCACAGATGATATCAGCAACATGCTGCAGAGCATCGACCTTGCCGATTCCATGGTAATATCCGTTACGTCAGAGGAAAAATGTCTAAAATACATTTTCTCTCCATTATGTCCATTCATATGCTCAATATCCTAAATCAGAACAAGAAACGTACAAAAGTTGCAAAAGGATAGAATAGGAAATAGGTCGGTTTGATTTGTCGTACGAAATGGTTACCAATGAATTCAAATTGTCTCATTTTGGTTTAAATCAGGGGAGATAATCACTGTAGACAGACTTTCCTCATCGCTAGGTCTATATGGCCGTCTATGATATTGTCAAGTATTTAGTCCTAAATTCACTCTACTGAAGTGAAACCACTGTAGAGAACATCTGGGCGAGTTGTATACCAGCCGTCCCCGGTTTCACATAGGTTTACGCAATACATATTGACCGTTCAGAAAACCATATTACATGTACAAACACTAGACGCTAAGATATATACTACCATTGCAGGAGGATAACAACCCCTATTTCGGATCCACTGAAGACAGGATTTCCCGGGTCGCTAAAAAGAGTCCACATATGATCAAGAAAAGGGTACGCTCACATTTCATTCTATAGCATGCATTTGGTATCACTTAGAGTCATAGACACTTTACCCACGAAATGGAAATAACCTTATCCAGTATGTGTTTACAAGATAAAAGGTCAACGACACTGAGACTCGGTACTGTCAAATAATTCAGGAACTAAACGTGTGTTATTGATTTCTTACTCTTTTAAAACTTTGCCGCTAAATTACTTGGCTTCATGTTACTGGTGTTGTTTGATTGACCGAGTCTGGGGGGGGTTATTGGGTAAACCAGGGCCTACTAATCCAGTCAATCTCAACTTTAACATCAATCTAACCGACTTTTTTGGTACAATGACGTTTATCTATAAAAGAAAAAATATCACAATTAACCTCGGTGAAAATGTACAATAACATTTTTAAAGACAAATGTCGTTTTTGACCACTTTCTAACCTAAACTTAAAGACTTTGTGCATACGGAGTAGAATACAAGCATAATTTGTGATGTGCATGATTTATTAGTATCAATGAGATAATAATGTATTACTCTCCACAGACGCCAGAGGAATTCACCGGTGAAGTGCGATCAGGGGAACCCAAAAGGCTGGCCAAGAAAAGTGGAACAGAATACAAAAACCAGCAGATATTTCAGGACCTCCTGGAGGGCGAGTATTAGACCACAGCAAAGTAGACGATGGGACAACGATGTACAAAAAAGGAGAATTAAGTTATTTATTAAGATAAAATTCATAACAAAAAGCATTACTTGAAAGTTAGTAAAATTTAAATTTATATATTCTTATCAAATATCTTTATTTCAATTATTCATAACTCAGTATATCATGAGTGACATATTTTTTAAAATAAGATCACGAAATCGCCATTTAAGTGAATAAGCATTTATTCGAATAACAAATAATTTAAAAAATATCAAAAGTTCAGGTAGAAGGAATATGTAGTATGGGGGATTCGTAACATTTTTGTCATTTTGTGTTGTGATGAGATGTTTATGGGAATGGCCCTGTGAAAGTGTATTTGTTTTGACATGGTAACTGGAAAGTTGCATCTTTTATCATAAAGGAGGTTCTAAGCTGAACTAAAATAATCCTATCTCTCGTTATTATGTGATCGATCCAGCAATTGGATCGGACTACATTGTTCTGATGAATCTATAAAAATACATTGATAACTTGATCAGTCAAACTTTTGTACGTAAAGCACGATAGCCACCATGTTGTGATTGTGATTTTCTGGACCTCCGATCGTTTTTTGATTCGTCACTGAAAACCTGTACATTGATTCACCTAGTACCTACTGGGGTTCTATTGAAGAAGATGAGCGTTATGTGAATATCTGGGGAGGGCACGTTGGAGTTTGATTGTGATGTTGACAGAGAGAATGTGTATACATTTCGTTATATGTTGTTACAGGTATATTTGTTATAAAGAAATTCTAGTCGGCTTGGCACCTACAAGTTTGCGTTATATAAGAAAAACAACTTTTAAGCGTTGATTTTATTAAGAATATTTATAAAAACGTCAAGTTTTTACTACCCATCACGAACGGTTTGACTGAAGGTATCAGTATTCAGGCATTATCATAATTTTGGGATCTCGGTGATAAAAAAAAAAATTGATGTGATTACTTTATAACACAGTGATTCTATTATGTAAGCCAATTACGGTTTTTGTTTTCTGAAAGTTATCTGATTGTTTAGGTTAAGTACTAACAGCATTTGTACACTATAAGGTAAACAACAGTGCAGGACGTGTTTTATCAATGTTGTGAGTATGCATTAAAAGTTGTTCTGTTGGATTGTGTTGGTCTTTTTGCATATTACGTGTCTTATACACTGGCAGTATATATATAGACTGGTAACTAGTTTTGTCATCCAACCCAATATGGCCCAAACATCGAAGTCATCCGTGGGAAAACTATTTTTCGCCCTACTCGAAAGCACGAAAAACTGAATATCGGGTATTTGACTAACTTTAAAAGTGAAATACTATATGTCAAGAAAACCGCAATTCTAACCTAAAATCTATAAAACTAGGGAAAATGAGACATTTAAAGGGTACAAAGAGAATAAGACCTGGCCCTTGTTGTTTAAATGTTGGTTAGAGTCAACCAACGGTTAGGAAAAATAATGTAAATATAACAAAATCAAGATCATCTGATGTGATTCAATGCTATGGATGGGTCGAGACAGATACAATTGGTGTGTTTTTGAAGATTTATTTCGTTTTGAGACGAATAGAGACGTATAATATACGTTACGTCTCTGGTTAAAGTAAACCAATATTTGAGCAACTAGGGCCAGATGTCCTGGAAGGGAATGGTGTCTGCTGCTACATCGACGACATGTAATGTCATGTAAATCTTGATCAAATCGAAGTAATATCACGTCCTCATGGCAGAAACCAGATAATAATGATACCAATAATTTGAGGTTCTTATATGCCACCTTATCACAACCTAGTCCGTAGGTCGTTTCAAAGCGGTTCACAAATTATTATCCGTGGTTATAGGACATTTGCAACCAGCCAATATCTGTCTCAACTCCCTTGGGAGCATACAGCCGGTGCTGCCATTTCGGCGCTCACAGCTAGCATTCAACAAGTCTAGTATTGCCCAGCCACGTACTCATTTACAGCTGAGTAGACTGAAACAAGCGGAGTATCTTGCTCAAAGATATAGCACAGTGCCGTGACATGACTCGAACCCGCAACCCTATGGCCACGAGCCCGGCGTCCTACCAGTAGGCTACCGCGTATAAGTGACAGCGTAACAATCAGTCCCTCTAAAGAGCATAATCAAAAACATTGACCTTCATATCGATAGTGGCCTTAACACTTTTCCATGGTCTTCATCAACCATCATCTTTGGATACCCTGTGTTGCAAATTTGTCCATCAGCAGACATCTGTCAAGATATTCGGAACAAATTCCTGAACACTTATTCAACTGCGATATGTAAACACCGATGTGTGGGGAACATGGATGTTACTATCAATAAAGAGAAAGATCATGATCCGGAAATTGTCCCACTTAGCGTACAGCTTGGTAGTAAGCCATTCCTGTTGGTCATCTTGTAAATGAGGATCAGAAGAGTTTGTATTGTTCTTCATTGCAAGCTCAAGAGAGTACCTAATCGACAAAGTCAACACATTTCTTGTTATTTATAGGTATTACATCGTCGATATATTTGCATGTGAAATTGAAGGACTTGTTTATTAGATTTTTGTTTCAAGACCTGATCAGCCTCGTATGAAAAAAAAGTCGGCAAGAATAAGGGCACAGTTCATTCACATAGGAATACCTACTGTCTGCTAGAAAATCTTGCCTCCGAACTCAGAGATATTGTCAACTAGGAACTCGCTCTTTTCATCTTCAGTATATTTCATTTTGGAATGCTGTGCTTTTCATAAAGTATGCTCGAAAGTAATTTACAACCCTATATTTATAACGACGTTCTTGAAGAAGTCAGCTCACACAGAGAAACAGAGAACGAAGACACTCCTTCAATGTGGTATGAGGAATGGTAAAGAGTGGAGAAATCAAAAGATCAGGTAGAAGAAATATTTAAAAGCATTTTGTATTCTTTCTTTGTGAATCCACCACTCGCTGAAAATGCCATTTTTTGAGAGATCTCATGGTGAAAACTTTATCTTGCAATTTGAACACCAAGGGTCATGTAATGGTAGTTATGTCTACCACAACATTGTAATGGGACAAAAGACAAAAAATTGATACACGTTCTTGTTCTTGAAAATAAAAGACTAGCTATTAGTCAAAATTGCACGAGAAATGGTTATTTCAAGATATTTGACCTAGAATGGCATTCCTACCAAGAATTTCAAACACAGAAAATAGTTTTATAAGTGTTTTCTTTTATTGTCTTTAAAATTCAAGTTACATAAATGGACATATCGTACCATTGGACATTTAAATAGCTTCAAATGTTAATTTTACTCGGTGAAAAAACAACAACATTGGTTATGTATCAAAAATATATTCAGATACCATACGATATTCAATCATTGAGACATAAACTGTTCAGATTAACTGATATATTTTTCTACATGTGATTTTAAAATCGCAATAAAAGCAAATATCAACAGAGCATACTACATCATATACTTAACCATATTGATAGTTCAATAACTTTTCGATACAAGATTCACTCGCAACCTTTTTCATCATATTTATATCATCCCTTAGGTGATCACGTGATTCTTTCAAGTCATAATACTCAATGCTAAACATGACGTAGCTATTATACTTCAAATTCGGTCAATAAGTGATTTTCATTATTTTCTTTATCCCAAAAAGGGCGGAAAATCCAATATAGATTTCTGCTTTTTTCTGTTAAACATTTGTTATATATGTGTAATTTTTTGAGAAAAAAAGAAAATCTGTTGCTATAAGTTAGTTAGTCCGGAGATTGACTGGACTACACTTTATTGGGATTGTCTTCATAGATTTTTGAAGTACTTACCTCGGGAATCAACGACATGAAGAGGTTCACGTTTTTAAATTGAAGTGCTTCTGGATAATATCAATATATATCTTCACAAAGAAACACTATGTCTTAATTCTCTCATCTCAGCCGTCTTCCAAAATAGTGTTTCTTTTTCACGGGACGAATATGCTTTCAAAAGAAATGATGACTTTAATTTGACCGGCATCTGTGATGACGAAGACGACGTACTGCTTTATATTTTGATTAAGTCTCCTCTGTTAACCGGTATTATCCATTGTAAAACTTCTTAAATCTGCATATGAACGTTTAACGTAAGAATCGTAAAGTGATTTTGATCAAACGATTGCAAGACATGCCTCGTGAAATTTTGGAAAGACAACACTATTTAACTATTTATACTGACATGATAGTTGTATGGACGCACACAGGAGTCAGTATTATACATTGATATTCTAAGGCTTATATCCATTACATATTTCATTGTCTATCAACAACCCAGTGACAGGTGGTTTCATAGACAAAACCAATCAACAAGAGGGAAGAGAGTCAGAACATTTTATTACAGACTACTCCATGTTCAAAAACCTTTCATTGGATCAGATCTATCAATTCCCATCCGAAGTCAAAACTCCATCGCCAAATAGAAGTAATTTCGAACTTATTTGCATAATTCTGTGCGAGAAATTGAATAAGATTAGCACTTTAGGCTTCTTCACAATGATGGCCACAAGTATTACAGTGGAATCGTGAACTAAATCGACATGAAAACACTCATGGTTAAGAGAACTTCATTGATGTGTTAGTATATTATACATAATATTTTCTGTTCTTTTTGTTGCCATGCATGTAAAATTAGGTTTGGTATGTTGGCATATTTGTGAAAAACGATAATTTCTTACAAGGAAATGTTAAGGATTTTGTACTATCGTCCAAAGTATTCCAGGTTTTGATGTAGAAGGTAAGAAAGATGAGGACGTAAGCTGTAAAAAGAGAACTCAGGATTATGCAAAGACAAATCTATATATAAAAAAACATTTACTGGACCATGTTGTTTAGGCAAAGGGCATGGTTAGATCAAAGATACATTCATGTACCTTGCTAAGAAAAATAGATTCATGTATATCCAGAAAGAGATTCTTTGAACTGTGTGGACTAAGAGAGCAATAATGATTAAATTGATGTGGCCTGTACCCAAATCCTGATAATAAACTATACATGGGCCAGTAAACCATGATATATTGGCCATGACCCCTACACTGAATAAATATATATACAAGATGTTGTGCATTTTAAAGTTTAAATACACATTTTGGAATATATTCTGTGATGAATTGCTGTTCATATTATAAGGTAAGCGAGACCTTATGTATGTGTATACACTGACCATGTGCTGCAGCACGTGCTTATGCTGTTTTGTGTTTACAATCTAGGAGTAGTAAGTTCACCTAAGGTCAGATTTTCCTTATTGGGAAAGGGGACAATTTGAAATTTTTCTAAATTTATCTCACTTCAGTTATTTATACTGCAAATTCTAACTAAATATTAGTTTTATCACAATATGTAAGTAAATAGAACTGTCCACGAAATCTTGAACTTTACCCAAGACATTTTTGGGGAATTTTAATTCCTTGTTTTTCCTGAAACGTTTGATTTTAAAGAAAAAATTGTCTGAGCTCTTAACTGCAGCTAAAAATCAGACATTTTCAAATTTAGGCTCCGCCTCTTTCCTTTTATAGTCTGGTTTGTAGCTACACGGGAGTAATCCCGATACTCGCTTTTTCGCTTACGTCAGAGTAATACTCGCTGTTTGGATTACATCGGAGCAAAATGTTGGTTTTGTGCCAAATACGGCTTACGGCAGAGCAAAATAATCCCATGATGGAAGAACGTGAGAGGAATTTATGCGCTTTCTTGCATAATTACTTGAAATTTACCATTGTAACTCATCAGTCTATATGCTATAAGTATGTCTTAAGCTGCTATATCAATATTTAAATAGTTAGATTGAATTGGTTGAGTGAATGAGTGGTGCGTGTGTGTTCATTCATATGCTATGTAACATATATTTGAAAATGCTTGAAAAAAAAAAAAAAAAGATTGAATTGGTTATGACTAAACAATCATATATATATATGGAAGTCAGTTTACAAACAGCTTTGTGGAGATTTGAATGCAATAACTATTTAATTAAATTACTTTTATGCAACACATTTCTTGGCCAATGACTAGGACGTTTTCTCGGTCACATAGGAACAAATAGAATGTTTAGAATTGACTTTCTTAATTTTCTAGATCTGAGACTTCCCAAAAGTTTGAATTTTCTTCTGTGT